CATGAAACTGATCAGCAGCAACATGAAACTGATCAGCAGCAACATGATTATCCTGGTTAGATATTCATAAGGCTGCACAAACTAGTTCATGTTGCTGTTTGACGTATTGTTTTGTTTACTGCTACTAGTGCTTAGTGTTTTATTAGTAGATGTTTTTTAGTTGATATTTTTCTTAATTCATATCTTAGATCTTATTACTGTTTTTATTTTACATTTTGTTGTCTGTAACTAAGACCCTGTGTACAAAGTACATAATTTCATCCAAATTCAGTATTTATTCAACATTTTATTTTTTTACTTTAAAATAAATCAAGTCCTTATCGGCACAAATAAAGTGATGTGGAACATGTTGCATCTGTTCTTACCGAGCACAGAAGCTGCAGCGTTGTGCTGCTCTGTGAGGTGCAGCTGGGCTGTGATGGAGCTCTGTCAGGTGTAGACTTCTCTGATGGAGCTCTGTCAGGTGTAGACTCCTCTGATGGAGCAGGAGCCGGAAGGCTTGGAGGGTTTAATGTGGAGTTAAGAGATGAACCGTCACGCGCTGAAATACGTTCTGGATAAAATACAGTGAGAAACGGGACCGGAGGACAGTTAGCGTTTATGCAAATTAGCTTAGCATCGTAGCACCGACGTTGTCCTATTATGGCGTCAGCCTCTTTTGTTAGTTAAAAATATGTTCAGAACCGATGGGATGAGTAACTTAAAATATGTTTAAAGTTAGAAAACACTCACCATCTTCTATAAATGATTCAAGTAGAGCAGTGGCCGTGTCCAAACCACCCTCCAATCCTCCATCTAGCTCGCTTTGACTTTTTTCGTCGGCCACCAAGCACAACAACACCTGCACTTCTGCATTTGACCACAGCTTTGATATTATTGTTTTTATATAGCTTCAAAATACTAAAAGATACGCTCCTCCAGTTATCGCTAATGGCAAGCGTAGAGAAAAAATGGTGGATCGGGTTGTTTGTGTAGTGAACTAAGCCTCAGGTCAAAACCTGGACCTTCGTGGGACAGGAACTGTTATTTCATTGATTTGAGTCCAGAAACACACATTAAGCTCATCCAGAGACTTTCTAAGTGTGTCCTGCGCTAATCAATTGAAAGAACACTCTCTTTTTATTATCATTACTATTTTACAATATCTTGATAATCAAAGTGTGTTTAGTTCAAATCATTTTAAATGTTGAAGTGAACTACTCATTTTAAATCAACTGTGAAACAGTATTAATGATTTTTAATCCTCATTCAAAGTAGAAATCAAGTTAATGTCTGTTACAGAGTAATTATTCATTTTTTGATCTTCTGTCTGAAATGAGAAGGAGTGATGTCGGTCAAAAGTCAGAGAACGGTCAAAAACATGTTTATCGGAACGAAATGTCATGTTTAACTCTCTCAGAAGCCAGAAGGAGACTGGCTCCTAAATGTCTCTGTTTCTTCAAAACATCTTTCTGTCTGTTCTTAAAACATCTACTCTGTCTCCTTGACATGTAGTGACACTCTGACGTCACTAAAACCACACCCCGGTTGGTTCGTTCAACCAATCAGGAAGTTCCCAGAAGGAACCGTAAGTGACCTCTTTAAAAGGGTCGACACTTCCTAGTTCCAAGCAGAACAAGAGTTCCAGAGAGAACCAGAGTTCCAGAGAGAACCAGAGTTCCAGGGAGAACCTCGAACGAGAAGTTCCTGAACGAGAGAAGTTCAGAGGAACAGAAGTTCTGAGCAGTTTCTAATGGAGTGACAAGAGTCCGTCGATGCCACGACGTCTCGCTGTGGCTCTACCCGACGAACGCTCTGAACAATGAGGAAGTTTGTTCTGTGATGATCTCACGACTCCTGAGGTCACAGATGTTCTTACGGAGACGCTGAAAAGCGTTGAAAGGGAACTCTACGCTGAAGCTGAAACTATCGTCTGCAAAGGTAAAAGAGTCGATCTTCAACTGCGAGTGTACCATGGGTTAAGCTGCGTCTAAAGAAGCGTGCTGTTCTGGTTATACAGACACTTTTTCCTCATCCATTTTCTCCATTTAAACTTCATTTTCCCATCTTTAAACCTCTATCTTGCCAGTTTATTAATCCAGATTTCTTCAGAAATGTCTGTTGGTTTCAAAGCTGCAAGTGAGAAAATCATGGCCGTATGATTTCTCAGTGCAAAAACTCATTAATTAAGCTGTGTTAATTGTAATCAATCTGCCAATTAATGTAAATGTGTGATGTGTTTTAAATCGTTTTTAATTAAACGACTCACTGTTGTGGTGGGTCAAAGATAAAACACGTTTCCGTCCACATTTAATATTCAAAACACGATATTACTCAGTCCAGAAAAATGAAAGAATCTGTTTAAATTATGGATAATATCAGACGCATATTATCCTCATTACATTTGGAAAGACTCCACAGACTCCTCCCCTCGACCAATCAGTGACCGACAGTGTTTCTGACGTGACGGGAAAACGTGCTGGGCGGCTGGTAAAGCTTAAAGCCCTGCATGCTGCATCTTCCTCTCCAGCTGTTGGTCAGGGTTTCCATCGCCAGCTTCCCACGTGCCCGGACCAGGTAAACAACAAAGGGACTCCAAAAAAGTTCAATCTGGTCCTCTGGACATAAAAAAAATACAACAAAAAATGAAACAAAGCAAAAAAATCTAGAAACGTTTAGTCTCTCATCCAAGAGACTTCCTCAGTCTGAGGCATTTTTTTTGAATGTCCAGAGGACCAGATTGAACTTTTTTGGATTTTTCTACCTGGATTATTGAGCATGCATCAGCATATTTTGAATCACTTTGGCCAGGATTGCCTCAAATTAGTAAGAGAGTTTGAGAAAACAGCAAGGAAGAGGGCAGACTACAGGAACCACTTGCGATTCAACCTCAGATGTCGACAAAGTGGCATCGTTCCCAAGAGCCTGGAACTAAAATCATCGGTCAGCGGGCACCGGGCAAGCAAGATCCTTCAGAAGGCACAAACCCAGCTGCTGAATGAACGGGTGAGACAGACCAATTTTACTATTGA